CCCTTTTGAGTAGAAGACACACCCTTAGTTACTTTCTTTTTAGTAGATTTTCTACTATTTACCGCCTTTTCTTCTTTCTTTTCGGCTGTCTTTCTTTTCTTAGAAGCACTCCGTGCAGGAATAGAGCTTGCTTTTCGTTTTGGTGGCATGTTGGATGAATAAAACGATGCTGTCACAGAAGTAAACAACTGTAAATAAACCGTGTTTTCACTCGACCTATTTCCCGTTGCAATTGTACTCTATTTTCTTTGTGGTCTTAAGATGATTTATAAAATGTAGTTGCTTCCCTTTAATCATAAGTTATATAGGTTTCGTTCTTCTACATGAATCCAATGCAAGCTTAGCCCACCCTTTGGGCGACTTTGAATTTGAAAATGAAAAATGCAAATGGCAATGCCCCCTGAAAACAACCGACCAATTTCATTGATTAAAATAAAAACCATTCGCCATGTTGCCCTTCCGGATATATTTACTTGCACCCCCCTTTTCGTAGGGGCCACAAAAATAAGGACTCCCTATTTACTATATCCGATACGATCAGACATAACCGGGGGACATAGCTGGACGATGGGGCATGCACTTCAGCCTCAGCCAGCCCAGGTATAATCGACTGACCGGTAGTAATGTAAACGGTGCTTTAGTGATAGTTTTTCTAAGTACACCAGTGGATCACATAGATTAAGGTGATATTTCTATAAGTACAGTAGTACAACAGTAGGCCTATGTATTTATCTGGAGTGAAAGTGATGTCTCATGTTTCTATAGTTCCAATGAAATTCAACAACCGGATGACAGAGAAACAAGAATATTGAAATACTTTTATTTTTTCTAAAAGCTACAAATTACAAAGTTACTAAATGAAGAAGCAGAATGTAGGGAGAAAATTAACAATGTATAGGCTATATTACATACTCTGATAATTAGCGTATTATGATGCCTAGTTTTAAACCACTACAAACACCATAAATAGTGTAAGAAAAGAGTTTAAGGTAGAGTTTTTTGAGTTTTGTGTATTTATCATCCTTATTGCCCTATTGTATTTCTTAATAACCAGCTAGCTAGCAGGAGCCACAAAATTTTCCAAGAGGGTCACAGGCTATGCTTTCACTGTGTAAAGTGATACAAAACTATTAGAGATGATCTACAATATTTGGTGCACATTTCGACGTATAATCGAAGGAATGACGGTAAAGATTGACAGTGGTGGATCTGATTTGCTTCTTCAATTATACAATAAAATAGCTTTAAAATGCTAGCAATATAAATAAGCAAGAACATGGCAAGAATAAGTAAATATTTTTTCTTTATCACACCTATCCGTATTAAAAATAATAAAACTTAATAAAAGCTAATATCATAGCTATAAAGGCAATCAACAGAAGCTCTCTACGCTTGGTTTGTGTATTTATGTATTCAACATCTTACAGCGTTTAATGGTCCAAGAATTCTAACTATGACAGTTCTTCAAATGAATTTCAAAAATAAATGGCAGGAGAGGAACGGTTGGAAATTTGTAATAATCACACTTTGACAATTTCTCCAATATCATTTTAGCGACATTTAGTGTCATTTATTCTACCTTATTTACAAACAGTGGAACCTCGTTTATCCGCCCGTTCCGTTCCTGACAAATTCGTGCGGTTTATTGAATTTCCAGCGAGTTAAATTAGATTCATTGAAAATATATCAGAAATTATAAAGAATAACTATCAAATAAATGTTAGATATGTAGACTCCTCGAAAGAGATGCCGAGTTGACAAACACCGGCCATAATAATACAAAGACATTGGAGAATCAAAAGTTTTCTAGGGCCGTCAAAAATGGGTGATTATGTCTCTTCTTCCGCTTCCGGTTCACCCTCTTCATTCTCGTCCATAAAGTCGAGATCTTCCTCAGCTGTAGCATCCTGGTACTGTTGATATTCAGATACCAGATCATTCATGTTAGATTCAGCTTCAGTAAATTCCATTTCATCCATACCTTCTCCAGTATACCAATGGAGGAAAGCCTTTCTTCTGAACATAGCAGTGAACTGTTCAGAGATTCTCTTAAACAGTTCCTGAATCGAGGTGCTGTTTCCCACGAAGGTTCCGGACATCTTGAGACCTTTTGGAGCGATATCGCAGACGGCTATTTTAACATTGTTTGGAATCCATTCTACGAAATAGGTTGAATTCTTATTCTGAATGTTCATCATCTGTTCGTCCACCTCCTTCATGGACATCTTACCTCTAAAGATGGCAGCTACTGTCAGATAGCGACCATGACGAGGATCGCAGGCAGCCATCATGTTCTTGGCATCAAACATCTGTTGGGTGAGCTCTGGGACTGAGAGGGCTCTGTATTGTTGACTTCCCCGAGATGTGAGAGGGGCAAAACCGGGCATGAAGAAGTGGAGACGAGGGAACGGTACCATATTAACGGCCAGTTTTCTGAGATCAGCATTAAGTTGTCCAGGGAATCGGAGACAGGTGGTCACTCCAGACATGGTGGCTGATACCAGATGGTTGAGGTCACCGTATGTTGGTGTGGTGAGCTTCAAGGTTCTGAAGCAGATATCATATAAAGCTTCATTATCTATACAGAAAGTTTCATCTGTATTTTCTACCAGTTGATGAACTGAGAGGGTGGCGTTGTAAGGTTCGACCACAGTATCTGAAACCTGGAATGAAAGAAAACAGATGTTGTCAGTAATCTAAGGTTCTATCCGAGAAACAGACGGTAACAGGATGGACATGTACCCATATATACATAGTGAATACAAACGAATACATAAAGGGTGAACCTCCGGACAGGGAAGCTCACAACTGTATCCTTACAGCCAATAGAATCAGGTTTTATAAAAACAAATAACATGATGTACGTAACATACCAAGAGGAGGATTACTACCTGCGAAAGGAAGCACCCAACAATTCGGAAATATTACCGGTTAGATTGCAATATTCAACAGAACCAGCTACCGTTAACGCATAACAGACTAACACTCGCTAACTTTAAACTGGCATATAATCCGTTCTTGATGGTCACATTGATGACCGCCGTTGAAGATAGTTTTGGACTGTACAGCAGTATAAGAGTCTGGTGCCACGTGTCATTGTACTTGAATGCGCAAGTAAAAATATTCGGCAGCCCTATCCAAATACGACGACTACATTTAGGTATAGTCGCTGTTTCCCGTGGTCTGGTTACACAATCTACCACTATCAGCTTACCTTTGGTGAAGGAACGACTGAAAAAGTATTCATGATTCTGTCAGGATATTCTTCTCTGATCTTACTGATAATCAGGGTACCCATACCGGAACCAGTTCCACCACCCAGAGAATGGGTCAACTGGAATCCTTGTAGACATTCACAGTTTTCTGTCTCCTTTCTGAGTACGTCAATAACACTGTCAACTAATTCAGCACCTGTAACAAAATACAATATATATATATATATATATATACATTAATAAGGTCACACATCAAAATGCACGTACATATTACGAAAACTGTACTTGCTTTCAAACCAAACTCTCTTTTTTAATACCAGAACCTAATATTATTGAGACCTACTCCCCGTCGATTTTTTCGTTTAGATTTTAATTCTATTGTTGGTGATTTAAATTGTAAAATGTGTGTAAAAGCGAAATTTAATTAAAATAATCTGTTAAACAGACCCAATATTATTCAGTTCGCTTGTTGTCTTTTGTGTAGCCTGAGATGACATGTTTTTAAATGTCTTTCTATAGTTCTAGTATTTATTTTTTTCCATTCTACATTCTAACGACATAAAACGTTTGTTCGACAGTTCAGCATTATTTTAATTAAACTAGCCAGGAGTAGACCAAAGTATGTTACAGTTAGAATATATTTATGAAATGCTTAATAAAATATTTTATTGTTGTACTATCACATTTAATTGTTTGATATCGATTTTCATTTTGTTAGTAACATCTGTGGTGTAAGGTATTTTAATGGAATCAATAAATAAACAATACAATAAACAGTCACCCTGGCTAATCAAAATATTATCGGATGGTTTATATCAAGTATTGGTCAGCAGGATTGAGGTGAAATTAAGGTTGAGTCAATAAAAAAAATCAAACTAAGTCCTAACGATCTGAACCACAAAACGAAATCCTTTTTTTAGCAGCTTTTCAAATGAGGAAGTTTATCAAACATAAATAATTGATTAAAAAAAACAACAGTTTTTATGGATATATACTTCTATTTATTATTGATCACTTGATAACGTTACCTGTATGTGTAATGAAACGTTGTATTGATAACGTTACCTGTATGTGTAGTGAAACGTTGTGTTGATAACGTTACCTGTATGTGTAATGAAACGTTGTGTTGATAACGTTACCTGTATGTGTAATGAAACGTTGTGTTGATAACGTTACCTGTATGTGTAATGAAACGTTGTATTGATAACGTTACCTGTATGTGTAATGAAACGTTGTATTGATAACGTTACCTGTATGTGTAATGAAACGTTGTATTCAATAATAAATAGAAGTTTATATCCATAAAAACTGTTGTTTCTTAATGTGCTGTGATACTTCTAAATGTCTTACATTTATTTATATATAAATAATTGATGTATTTTATAATTTCACTCATATTAGCAGATCAAGTTGAAAATATAGCCACAGATATCCATGATACCAGGTGGAGCATTAAATTCAATACTGCTAAATAAATGACCACGGTTATTATAAGTTTCGCACGTTTTGCATAATTTAAAATGAAACTTTTCATGGAAAAAATAGTCAAGAGTCATCCTCAGTCTTAGGTCTAGGGAAGGAAGTTTTCCGTATGTTTGGTTCAGTATATTTTAGCTTTCAACTTCCACAATAAATATTCCAAACATGGAAATGATTAATATGTGTTGAGCTCATACAAGATATCTTCCAAGCACCTGTTACACTTACTCGTAAAATCGCAGGGTGATGAACTTTTAATTCAAACCTTCAACGGTGTAAAACCCCACCTACCTACACTTGCTATTATGCGAGTTTGTTTTTCTTACCTTCTGTGTAGTGACCTTTAGCCCAGTTATTACCAGCACCACTCTGCCCGAAGACGAAGTTATCTGGACGGAAGAGCTGTCCGAAGGGTCCGGAGCGGACGGAATCCATGGTTCCTGGTTCCAAATCGACCAGTATTGCTCTTGGTACGTACTTTCCACCACTTCCAGTATTGAAATAGACATCAATTCTGTCAAGCTGTAAATCAGTATCTCCATGATAGGCACCAGTAGGGTCAATACCATGTTCATCAGAGATTACTTCCCAAAATTTGGCACCGATTTGGTTGCCGCATTGACCAGCCTGAAGATGTACGATCTCTCTCATGGTTGCAGTAGAAGTGAAGGTAGAGCTACGTGGAAGTATGGTGTGATAGTAACTATGACTGTATATTTCTAGCTGGGACCGAGGTAACAGGTGCGTGAATATCAATAGGTTTATCATTACTCATACCGATCAATAGTATCTGAATCATATCACCTGTATTTCAAATATCTCAAATATGCTCAATATCACCATGTATATAGTCTATAATATATAATTATTTGTATTGCATCTGCGTCGAACAACTATGCCTGCATATGCGCTGATCTAAGTCACACAAAGGATCGAACTATACACTATTTCATGTGCTATGTCCACGTGTCATGCCAAATCAAAATGCCGTGACATGTCAAAGGTATTGATTGAGAATCTAAAAAGATTTTTTCACGACTGCAAAACGACTTGATGTAGACTTTGACCTCGTGGGGACCTCGAGTTCCGCTAAATCGTTTATTTCTGGTTATAAAGGAAAATACCTACCGAACACAATATGTAACACTAAACAGCGGCTATGAACCAACCAGATCCTATTTGCATAAACTCATGGGTGGTTCAGCCTGCTTGACTGAGCAGACAAACAAACAGACGAGTCAGTATGTTCCTTTGGTATAGTGGCGGAGCCAAGTTTATGTCCGAGGGGGCGAAATATCTGAGATTGCCCGAATTTCTAACCTTGTTTTGAGATTTTTGCCCGAAAAACCTGCTTTAGGAGCTGCGAGGGAGGGCGGTTGCCCCCTCTGCCCCCCTTTGGCTCCGCCACCTAGTGATTCATAAAAACACCACGAAGACGAATTCTTTTTTTTTTTGCAATATTGATTCCCACCTGGTAAACAACCAAAATTTTTAACCCCTTGTTAAAGAATCACCATCAAAACCCTGGTCATTGACAAGCTTTTATTGTGTTCTTTGTTGGTTTGGGGAGCCTCAGGTGGACAATAACTGGGTGTTAATTATTGGGTACCAGGGGGTAGCGTGGAGAGCATGAGTGGTATAGGCAGATTTTGCCAAGGGTAGGGATCTGTAAATAACAAAAACATTTAATATTGGTTCTAAAAGTTTACTGTATGAGGTACAATAAAACATACAAATAATATCAGTTGAGTTTACAGAACAGAAACTTCCAGGCATCTTCACTATGGTCAGGGTATAGCAAACTTATACCTTGACTACAATAGACACCTTTTATGTATCATTGAATGCAACGATTTTATCGGGGTGTGCGCTAGCGACAACAGTCAATAATAGCTCTCAACAGACTGACTGTAAACATTATAGCTTATTGTTTACAAACTTTCTGTCGAGGACTCTGATTGACTGTATTCGCTAACGTACAATCCAATCAAATCATTGCATTTGCTACCGTGATACATGAAATGTGGCTATTGCAGTCAAAGTATAAGAAGTTCTTTAGACTTTCAGGAGGCCGATCATCTTTCAAGCTACCTGGCTATAACTCGCAAATTAACATAAAGTTTTTCCATTGTTCCTTTAGTAGAGTCCACAAAGAAAAGAATTTTTATTGGTACATGTATTTGGATTTGTAAACTCAGCATTCCTTTCAGCGATTCACTAAGAAAATAAAGTTTATTTGGTCGGTATTAGGCTTAAGGACATATTAAAATTTAGATAATGTCTGTATAGTTCCGAAAAAGTACTGAACTGTTTTAAAGTTTCCTCTGATCCCGGCCACAAATATTCAATTTGACAAAACTTTCGTTTCTAACGAACACGATCTGGGGCATTATTCCGGAAAACTAAGAAAATATAGAGAAAGAAAACAACTTCAAGAACAACAGTCATCTAATCGGATGAAAAAAAAAACGAATTCAAAATCGATTCAATGACTGAGACACTCAAATCATCTTAGTTTTTGAGAATAGAGCTCCTGAAAATTGACCCCCGAGTTAATCAAGTGACGGTGTTAGTATGTAAAGGGTTATATGTTATATCTCATACAGAATATTATAGTCAGTTTATATACACATTGGATTCAACCATTCAGTCATAAACAATGCTGTTGTGGTCTGTTGTCTATTGGAGTTGTCTCCCCTGAAATAGAAAAGACGTGACTAATGAAAGCGGGTAACGTTATGCAGCAGTTCAGTCGCCATAGAAAACGGCCTATCGTGAAAGTTACTCTAACGCTCCGTAACAGATTCAGCTTTACAGAACTGACAAGAATTGCCGAATGGCTCCATGTCTCTTCCAATCAGTAAGCATATGGTTATATTTTTTCATTCTTTTTTTTGTGGCTGTTAGAGTTGGGAGAAAAATTTAATCTTTTTAGGGTGCATATACTTTGTCATCCACCCTGAAAATATGTGATGAATAAGTTTCGGTTATATTACAGGTATCAGTTCTTGCCAATGCCACATGCAAACCATCAATCGTAAAAGTGAATTGGAACAGCTAATTTACCAAGCGGGACATCAAAGATCAGGTGTCTATTGAAGCTCCTTGTGGGTCTATTGCTTGGTATTCCTTTGGCACTCTCTTAAAATCCCACATCCCCCGCTGACCCTCATTCCTGTTCCTTTTCCCCATCGTATCCAAACCAGACCCCATTCCTTATACTTATTACACAACGTCAAAACTCGTATTCGGGATACGATTCCCTTTGTCCAACTTGTATCCTCTTCCTCTTTCTCCGACCCTAAAATATAACATCACCTAGGCTACTCACTTTTTTATTTCCCAACGCTGAGATCAGGAAAGTTCAGAAGATGGTCCACAGTTCCCGCGTTTCTCTTGATGACGTCATACTGGTTGCTACCGTACATGGCTATTTTTATGACTCGTGCTGCTAGTGTGATGATATCCTAGAACAAAATATGTAAATAATCAACCAATAACATTCACATATATCAAAGCGATGAAGTTCAAAGAAAAACAGAAAAAGAAAGAAACCATTTTTGAGAGGATAACAGGTTAGGTTTATGAGGATCCTGTCCACAAGCTTGTATTGCACCTTGACTGCAATAGCCACCTTTCTTGTCTGTCGGGGGTCCAATCAAATCGCTGCATTCCGCGATACAAGAAAGGTGGCTATTGCAGACAAGGTATAAGATGAAGTTCACAGCTTAGGTTCAGGAGGATCCTTTCCGGTGTCTATCAGTGGACCCTTGGCAAAATATCTTGGCATCGATATTTCTCGATTATCCAGTACCCTACTGTATTTCAATAGATGAAAACCATTGTTTTTTAACTCCCTTAATTCAATAATATTGCCGTTCACAATAGTACACGACATGCTCGTAGAGACCGCGTTATCATACGTTATAAAAACGTTAAAATGCTATACTTATAAGAGCATGACAAAAATGAGTTAATAAATGGCCAAAATTCTAGGCCAATATCCGTCATCTTCACAATGTCCAGATATAACGAACTGCGTCTTATACTCTCATAGCTTGATATTGTGAAGATGGGTATCAATATATCTTGAGGCTCATTATCTATACTGATCTCTTATGTTCAATAAAAAAAGTATTTATATTTTGTGAGAATTTACACACATCGTTATTGATAATCTAACATTACACTGGTTAAAATTCATAGAATTTATGGAAAAAGTCTCTTCTACTTACTTGGCGTGATTTTTCTTCAATTTGTGTTTGATAAGGTCTTAAAGGGGAACTTTCCGATAATTTTACTAACACCGTCAACCCAACGAACACTAGTAGTAATAAACATTTTGTACACGAATTCATTTCTGAAATAAAATGACAGGGAGTTGTACGTCCTCTGTTGCATCCTGCTAGTCCGTATCTAAACCTTATCTTATTGGACTAACTGAATCCATATAACTAATACACCTTGACCTGTATTTTTGAAACGATCTTAGCTAGAAGTTAGAAGTTAAGACTCAAGGATGTCCTAGCGCTAAGATTGTTTCGAAAGTACCATTTGGCATTCTGTTTTACAACCTGGCATTCCTTTCAAAGTTATCACATCATTTAAGATAGGTTTCTTTTTTTAGCTTTAAATTAAGCAAACTATTTGATTAATTGGTGTTCCTTATGAATTATCATGTATTCTTAATCATATCATTATGTTCTTATTACATATATTAAGAGTTTTATCATTAAATGTATGTACAGTCTGGATAAACAAAAAAAAAATTTTGATTTTTCTTGATCGGTCACTCATTGGAATTCTGCTGGTAATTCTCTTCTAATTCAGCTAATTATGAAATAATTATGGACATGTGAGACAAACTGGTATTTTTCCAAGTTATTAGAACACCTCTACTATCTATTCATATAAGTATTAGCATTTTCATTTTCAAAAATGAAAATAAGGGAATCCATCTCTAATTATGCTTTTTTTATTTATTAAAACTTGTAAACTCCATGTTTGTTGAGAAAATTAACATCGTGAACTCTAAATAAATTTTAGGCACAAACATAAAATTGAAAAGGCTGATCAATGGAGTTTCCACGGGGAAAACTACCGAGGCAAACGAAAATCGAGTAATTAAAAAATGGAAAAAAAGGAAATATGAATTGAAAATAACAAAGTGCATAAATAAAAATGTTGGTCGAATACAGCATCTCTAAAAGTCTGCCTCCAACCGAAAGTTAGTTCGCAAACAGACCAAAAGTGCTGTAATTTCCAAATCAAATCGCTGGCGAGTTTGAAGGACCATTCTGCTTTTCGACTGGACTTTTTTATATATATCCTTAGTATAGTTTCACCTGGCGACAGAGCAACCATTTTAAAACATCAAACTTAGAACATCAAATTTTAGAATTGCCGAGTTAAAAAATACATCACGTGATTTTTGCGGATAGAGTATTTCGAACTACGAACCTGCAACTCTTCACTTTCTGAGGTACGTTTGTGAAATCGCTGCTGATTGGTTATTAACAATTAAATCAGATCCAATCAGAATTCATTTCTCATAAACAAATAAAAACAATCCGCTTGTCGTTTTAACAAAACTAACTGAACTAAATTTAACAGCAATTAGAAATATATAGTTCTAACTTTATGATCTAGACCCGTGCTTTCTAGGGGAATTATATTCTCGTATTAACCTAACGATAATGTCGTAAACGATATTCCGTCTTATTTGATTTTGAAATAGTTACAATTCCTGTCTTTGTGAACTGAAACATATTTCTTGCTTTCATTGACCCTTTTATCATTACGTCCTAATTCACATTACTGAACTTCACAATAATAACAAAAACTTTAAAAATATTTAACACTGGGTGAAAATATATACTTAGTTTATGAAACTGGAGCATGTTTCTATCTATTGCTCTGTGGCCTGGGCCAGTGCTTCCATTGAGAAGCGTCATAATACACCTTAATACTAGCATTACTTACATTAATGGAAAATGAAAAATAAATCCCACGGGCATCTTCGCTAAGTTATAACTTCTACGAAGTTCGTAACACCTTGACCATTGTGAAGATGTTTCATATTATGGACATAAACTGAGTAAAACTCGGGAGGAAAAACTATAGATAGCTACAATTCCTGTTTGTATGAAACTGGATAAAACTCACAATATATTACAAGTTATAATTAACAAGACAATATTAACAAAAACTGAAAAGTTATTAACAACCGGAGAGAATAATATACATTATTATATTTCCTGTTTTTATATGAAGCTGGCACCAATTCCTAATATAATACAAGTTATACTTGACTTGAGAATATTAACAAAATTCTAGTTGCAAATTCCTGCTTAAAGAAAAATGACAACTTACCTAGACCTGAGCTAAGATGACTAAAAGAGAGATGTGAAACGTCTGTCTGATGAAAAGCTTACATTGTGTTATATACATCAAAGACTCCCGCCTACTTGTCATTATCATTCATGTCAGTTTATTCATTATACAAACCATATAAAGGAGTTTCCAGATCTAAATTGAAATGGACTAGTAATCAACTTGTGGGTTTTCCTCGGAAATACAAGTCGTATTGGTGAAGAGTATTTTGATGATCACGGGGCCGTATCTTTCAGTAAACAGATTGTATGACTTGTTTTCAGTACGATCCACTTTTTTCTTTCTTTCAACAGTCATTCTTTCTTTCAACAGTCATTCTTTCTTTCAACAACAGTCATTCTTTCTTTCAACAACAGTCATTCTTTCTTTCAACAGTCATTCTTTCTTTCAACAACAGTCATTCTTTCTCTCAACAACAGTCATTCTTTCTTCCAACAACAGTTATTCTTTCTTTCAACAACAGTCATTCTTTCTTTCAACAACAGTCATTCTTTCTCTCAACAACAGTCATTCTTTCTTTCAACAACAGTCATTCTTTCTTTCAACAACATTCATTCTTTCTTTCAACAACAGTTATTCTTTCTTTCAACAACAGTCATTCTTTCTATCAACAACAGTCATTCTTTCAATAACAACAGTCATTCTTTCTTTCAACAACAGTCATTCTTTCTCTCAACAACAGTTATTCTTTCTTTCAACAACAGTTATTCTTTCTTTCAACAACAGTCATTCTTTCTTTCAACAACAGTCATTCTTTCTATCAACAACAGTCATTCTTTCTTTCAACAACAGTTATTCTTTCTATCAACAACAGTTATTCTTTCTTTCAACAACAGTCATTCTTTCTTTCAACAACATTCATTCTTTCTTCCAACAACAGTCATTCTTTCAACAACAACATTCATTCTTTCTTTCAACAACAGTCATTCTTTCTTTCAACAACAGTCATTCTTTCAATAACAACAGTCATTCTTTCTTTTAACAACAGTCATTCTTTCAATGACAACAGTCATTCTTTCTTCCAACAACAGTCATTCCTTCTATTAACAACAGTCATTCTTTCAACAACAACAGTCCTTCTTTCAACAACAACAGTCATTCTTTCAACAACAACAGTCATTCTTTCTTCCAACAACAGTCATTCTTTCTTTCAACAACAGTCATTCTTTCTTTCAACAACAGTCATTCTTTCTTTCAACAACAGTCATTCTTTCTTTCAACAACAGTCATTCTTTCTTTCAACAACAGTCATTCTTTCTCTCAATAACAGTCATTCTTTCTTTCAACAACAGTCATTCTTTCTTCCAACAACAGTTATTCTTTCTTCCAACAACAGTTATTCTTTCTTTCAACAACAGTTATTCTTTCTTTAATAACAGTCATTATTTCTTTCAACAACAGTCATTCTTTCTTTCAACAACAGTCATTCTTTCTATCAACAACAGTTATTCTTTCTTTCAACAACAGTCATTCTTTCTTCCAACAACAGTTATTCTTTCTTTCAACAACAGTTATTCTTTCTTTCAACAACAGTTATTCTTTCTTTCAACAACAGTCATTCTTTCTTTCAACAACAGTCATTCTTTCTTTCAACAACAGTTATTCTTTCTTTCAACAACAGTCATTCTTTCTTCCAACAACAGTTATTCTTTCTTTCAACAACAGTTATTCTTTTTTTCAACAACAGTCATTCTTTCTTTCAACAACAGTCATTCTTTCTATCAACAAGTTATTCTTTCTTTCAACAACAGTCATTCTTTCTTTCAACAACAGTCATTCCTTCTATTAACAACAGTCATTCTTTCTTCCAACAACAGTCATTCCTTCTATTAACAACAGTCATTCTTTCAACAACAACAGTCCTTCTTTCTTCCAACAACAGTCATTCCTTCTATTAACAACAGTCATTCTTTCAACAACAGTCATTCTTTCTTCCAACAACAGTCATTCCTTCTATTAACAACAGTCATTCTTTCAACAACAGTCCTTCTTTCAACAACAACAGTCCTTCTTTCAACAACAACAGTCATTCTTTCAACAACAACAGTCATTCTTTCTTCCAACAACAGTCATTCCTTCTATCAACAACAGCCATTCTTTCTTTCAACAACAGTCATTCTTTCAACAACAACAGTCATGCTTTCAACAACAACAGTCATTCTTTCTTTCAACAACATTCATTCTTTCTATCAAGTTAATATAAAAATATAGACAGTGGCGGTGGTTTGCATCCCCAATTGTACCCCCACTTTATTTTCAACAAAGTTAAATCTTAAATTTTTCTCCAAAATATGTAACAGAATGCACAAAATCAATTCATTTTCTTGAGAGAACTCTCTAAGACGCTCTATGAGAGGCTTGCGACTATGAGACCACCACGGAGTGGCCAAAATTTGAATTCAACCTCAGAAGTTGTCCCCCATGGAGTCAGTCTGCCCCCACCCCCAGTCTCGTAAGGCTGGCGCCGCATTTGAGTAAAATAAATGCCTAATTGTAGAGAAACGTGTCTCCTAAAGCCTTCAACTAATAAGGCCTAATATCGAGCCATTATAAAACCAAACACCAAAACTAGGCCAAACTGCTTAATTAACAATTAGTACTCTCCGTTTTTAATTAAACCTTTTAAAACAAATTCAGTTTGATCAAGAAGATACTTTCAGGTATAATTTAGGACGTTTTTTGGTAATGAATACTCCTTTTATTCTTCAAAAACGGATATCATTTCTTTACAATGTCTATTCATGTCATGAATGTGATTTTCTTTGAATAGATAGATAGATAAAACGAAACCCGAAATCCAAAACATTTTGGCGATAGATATACCATCAACCAAACCACACCGAAATGCAGTTCTTACTGCGCTTCTACGGAGACGAAAAATTGATTCAGAGCGTATCAAAGTGGGATCGGGGTGAAATCCATCAATGAGGGTGGTCTCTACTGCTTAACTCAACACATCTATCATTACGCGCCTGTACAGTGCCTTTGTAACAGGACCTTCTTTAACGTCATCGGTCCCCCATACATATTTGTGGGCCTGTCTCTGGCAAACAAAACATATCTTTCTATATCATCAAATCTTAAAAGTAACTCCACTTCTCTCATATTATTTATTATTACACTGCCTTACAGGTATAATATAAAGGTATTAAACTGTTTTCATGAGCCCAGCTGGAGCAGAAAAGTTAGAGATCATTTCATTTTTTTTTCATTTTTTCAAGGATGTTTCAATGTTTATAACAATATATCTATGACTTTAGAATGATGAAATAAAACCTTCCCCAGTTAGTTAAATTAACACCCAGAGCAACACAATAACACATTTTAATTAACATATAGAATTTAGGTGATATTGGTCGGATGTTACATTGAGAGGAAGGAGGGTGGGGCATATTTACAGGACGTTGATTGCAGGCTCGTGTGGACATTTTCGTAAGTTTGACTGCCTACCGTGAAAGTTCTTCTTGCGCTCTGCCAAACTGTCAAATATTGCCGAATGGTTTGACTATATTCAAAATCACAAAAAATAAGGGAGTATATAAGTAGTCTCTGACGCCCAGCCTTTATCTGATTATGATCTTTGCAAGGCGTTGCGTAGACAAAGAAGGACTGGGTGATAGAGGCTGGACGAAGGAATTTCCTGACGGTTAATTCACAGTTCGAGCGGCAAAATTATCAGCTAATTAGCATAATTAGTATTATATCTAATAAGGTGAGAAAACGATAGCGAATACAAACAACTTACAGGAGAATTGTCGCCATTTTTTTTATACAAACCCTCGTGGTTGGCTTTCTTACGACATGTTTTAGAATTATTATTTAAGGTTATTGTTTATTATCCTTGTTTCTAAATTTCTATTGTTATTTTCTTGGGTTTCAGAGAATATCTTTCAATAATAAAATTCAATTTATAATGTAAAAAAAACGGTTAAAATAACGATTTTATACCTGAAAAAAAATGACAATGGTCA